AACAGACACCTCAACAAAGAGGCTACTGTAATGGTGGCAGGTGAAAAGATGTTCATGTTCAATGTAATTAGCTATTAATAAGGAAGTGCAAACTGCAGCTATAAAGAATGCCTATTAGAATGGCTAAAATAGGACTGGTAACTCTATGTGCTGATGCTTATGCTGAACAACTTTAAAGTGTCAGATGTTTAGCCTTTCTATAAAATGGTTTGTCATACTTTTATATTATCACATACCTTATATTTGGAGCATTTGTCACTTTAATTATATTTTCAGGTGATTTTCTCCCCCAGTAGTCCTTTAATTATGCAAGGTCTGAGACTCTTATCTGTTTTGGCCCACTATTGGCATTACAGTTTTTAGCATGAAATCTACACACAGACACAGATGTTCATGTATACATCTCTCTTCATTTATATATTTGTATTTCCTTTTGCACCCAATTGTAATAACCACAATGAGATGTAGAAGGTATGGGCTTTGCATTGCAGTAGCCACAGTAGAAAGGAAGAATAAATCAAGTCTTCTATACTCATTGTTTCTTAATATAAAAATACAGTTAATTAGAAAGATCTTGATGCTCCAAGTTAAATTAGAAGCATACTGTAACAAACCATTTAAGCCACAAATGATGGAATTCCAATAAGGTCATTTGCATCTCTACTATTTAGTATAAAAATATGAACATTGTAAGAATGTACAAACCATTTTCAAGTCTAAGCCCTGGGAAAATTCTTCTACCTCAACAAAATGCTGCCACCAAAACAAACTTGGACTAATTTGATGAATAAGTCTTTAATAAGGAAATACATACTTGCAGATGTCCAAATAGTAATGAACATTTCCAAATAGAGATAATAAGTGAGGAAATCTGAGTTTATGACTAGCAAACAAGAGATAAACTACTAAGAAGCTCCTTTAATTGCAAATTCAGTTCCTTTTTAGGCAACGTAAATACTGCATGACATGGATAAGAATTATGTAAAAATACGATTTGTCAGGTGAATGACTAAAAAAGTTGAGGTTTCTCAAAAAGCATGTGCTTTAAAAACTCTAGGTAATAACAATGTGTACCAAAATATCACATCAATTTAAAATCAATTTGAAGCTCTCCAGAATGGTAACTATAGAGTAATTTCAAAAGTTGGCCTCAAATGACACCTGATTTTGGATCCAGTTTCACTATACTGGCCTACATGTCATATTCAGTATGACAAAGAGAACTGGAGATAACACAGCTCCATTGGTTGATAATTCCCCAGGGTCCCTCCCCTAGTCTGACTTTATTAAAAAATACTGGAATTATGACTACAGTTCTCGTGAGGGGAATCAAAATTGTGTGGTTCCAGATAAAAATGAAGAAAATGATCTTGCTAACAAGAGCTTTAAGTAACAGCATAGATACACTGATTTATAAAAACAAATGGCAGTTGGGAAATAGATATAGTCTAAATGTTTACATCACAAGTGGTTGCATCATGAATGGCACCCGAGAGTCAGAACTCAGCTGCTTGACAAATGGAATCATAATATTAGAATGAGAGTAAATTTTAAAAAACAAGTTTTAAATACATAAAAAAAGTAGTTGAATACAATGCTGTTTGCTTTTCCATGGAGATGTTTACTGCTAAATATTTCATTTTTCTGCATATGGCTTCTCTAAAGTTTTCACACAGGGAAATATTTGCCAGTTTAAAGAGAATCATAATACAAAATTTTCTGTCATGAATCATATCCCAATTTAGCTAAGCAACTTTAAACTTAATTTTCTACTAACAAATCTCAAGTATCACTAGACTAGTTTTTAAATTTAACAGTCACTGATTAGAAATAACAAAAATGATTTTCAATTGTATTCTTTTCTTGCTGCAAGCTTATAGAAGTACGCCACCTAGAGTAAATTTTATAATTTTTAAAGTGTAAAAACATCTGGACTGGTTTTATTATTTTAAACTATAAAAAGTAGGCATATTTTCATCAAAATCAAGCTAAATATTATAATAATTGTGGAATTTTTCATATACTCCATTTTGACATGTAACTTTCTTAATATTGCTTTCTGTAAAATTGACTGTTTTTCAATAGCTCCATATTAAGCAATTTACATAGTGTGCCCTCTTGAGATGATTAACAAAAGGAGTTACAGTTTTTAAAACCTGATCCAATGACATTAGGTAATCTTAACATGCTACTACCAACAGAAATAATTATGGAAGTATTTGAGAGATAATATAAATAATAAGTTTTGGATATATACATAAGTACAAGCATTAATCTTGTGTTCAATGAATTTTTAAGTATAATTGTGGAAGACATAGCCATTGAGTAAGGACTGATGCTATGGATCTAAATATACAAGTAGGTAAAATTTTTCAAATGCTGATAAAATGTGAATGAAAAGAACGTTTTATTTGGCCTCTTTTTTTTCAGATGGACATGAAACATGCTTTTTTTCTTGGTGAAAAAATATGCAAGAACATTTTTTAAGATTTATCCATAGATCTAAATATCTTTATTGAGGAAACACTGTAAGATATTGAGGCCTATAGGTTCTTTTAACTAGGCAGTGTTAAAAAACATAGACATTTCTTTTTTTGCTTCCTGCCCCCCCAACTTTATTGAAATATAACTGACATATAACATTATGTAAATTTAAGATAAACAATGTGATAATTAGATACAGGTATATATTGCAAATTTTTTTAAAACAATAAGGTTAAATAATATATCCTTAACCTCTTATAATTAATATTTTTTTGTTATGGTGAAAACATTTAAGATTTACTCTCACAGCATTATACAAGTATGCAGTAGAGAAAAGGAAATATATACCTATCTGAATGCAGAGTTCCAAAGAATAACAAGGAGAGATAAGAAAGCCTTCCTCTATGATCAATGCAAAGAAATAAAGGAAAACAATAGAATGAGAAAGAATAGAGCTCTCTTCAAGAAAATTAGAGATATCAAGGGAACATTTCAGGCAAAGATGGGCACAATAAAGGACACAAAAGGTATGGACCTAACAGAAGCGGCAGATGTTGAGATGGCAAGAATATACAAAAGAACTACACAAAAAAAGATCTTCATGGCCAGATAACCACAACGGTGTGATCACTCACCTAGAGCCAGATATCTTGGAATGCAAAGTCAAGTGGGCCTTAGGAAGTCTAACTATGAAAAAAGCTAGTGGATATAATGGAATTCCAGTTGAACTATTTCAAATCCTAAAAGATGAAACTGTGAAAGTGCTGCACTCAAGGTGCCAGCAAATTTGGGAAACTCAGCAGTGGCCACAGGACTGGAAAATGTCAGTTTTCATTCCAATCCCAAAGAAAGGCAATGCCAAAGAATGTTCAAACTGCCGCACAATTGTACTCATCTCACATGCTAGCAAAGCAATACTCAAAATTCTCCAAGACAGGCTTCAACAGTACGTGAACTGTGAACGTCCAGATGTTCAAGCTGGACTTTAGAAAAGGCAGAGGAATCAGAGATCAAATTGCCAACATCCATTGGATCATCAAAAAAGCAAGAGTCCCAGAAAAACATCTGCTTTATTGACTATGCCAAAGCCTTTGACTGTGTGGATCACAACAAACTGTGGAAAATTCTTAGAGATGGAAGTACCAGTCTCCTGAGAAATCTGTATGCAGGTATGCAGGTTGAGAAGCAACAGTTAGAATGGACATGGAACAACAGATAGGTTCCAAATCAGGAAAGGAGTATGTCAAGGCTGTATTTTGTCACCCAGCTTATTTAACTTATATGCAGCATACATCATACAAAATTCCTGGCTGGATGAAGCACAAACTGGAATCAAGATTGCTGGAAGAAATATCAATAACCTCAGATATGCAGATGACACCACCCTTATGGTAGAAAGTGAAGAGGAACTAAAGAGCCTCTTGATGAAAGGGAAAGAGGAGAGTGAAAAAGTTGGCTTAAAATTCAACATTCAAAAAATGAAGAATATGGCATCCGATCCCATCCTTTCATGGCAGATAGATGGAGAAGCAATGGAAATAGTGAGAGACTTTTTTTTTTTTTTTTTGGCTCCAAAATCAATGTAGATGGTGACTGCAACCATGAAATTAAAAGACGCTTGCTCTTTAGAAGAAAAGCTATGACCAACCTGGACAGCATATTTCAAAGCAGAGACATTACTTTGTCGACAAAGGTCCATCTAGACAAAGCTGTGGTTTTTCCAGTAGTCATTCATATATGGATGTGAGAGTTGGACTATAAAGAAAGCTGAATGCTGAAGAATTGATACTTTTGAAGTGCAGTATTGGAGAAGACTCTTGAGAGTCTCTTGGACTGTAAGAAGGTCCAACCAGTCCATCCTAAAGGAGATCAGTCCTGAATATTCATTGGAAGGACTGATGCTGAATCTGAAACTCTAATACTTTGGTCATCTGATGTGAAGAGCTGACTCATCTGAAAAGACCCTGATGCTAGGAAAGATTTAAGGCAGGAGGAGAAGAGGATGACAGAGGACGAAATGGTTGGATGGCATCAATGACTCAAACGACAAGCTCTGGAAGATGGTGAGGGACATGGAAGCCTGGCATGCTGCAGTCCATGGGGTCCCAAAGAGTCGGACATGTCTGAGCAACTGAGCAACACCAATACTTTGATCCCTTTCTCTTTATGTTGTGTGTATCCCTCATTGTTTTTTGTTTTGAGTTTATCCTGAGGTTTACATAAAACATCATAATGGATATAGCAGTTTATTTTAAGTAGATAACAACTTAACTTGGAGTGTATACAAAACTCTATCCTTTTTCTGCTTCCCCCACATTTTATTTTTTGATGTCACAATTTATCTTTTTATATTGTGTATCTGTTAACAAATTGGACTATCTATAGCTATGTTTACTATTTTTTCCTTTAACTTTCATTATAGAGTTAAATGGTTGGCACAACACCATATCATAGTATTAGAGTATTCTGAATCTATACTATATACACCACCAATATGTTATATATTTTCATGTTTTTGTATTACTAATTAGGATCTTTTCATTTCAGGTTGAAGAACTCCTTTCAGCATTTCTTGTAAGGCATGTCTAGTGGTGATCAACTCCCTGGTTTTTTGGGAAAGTGTTTATCTCACCTTTATTATGTTGCCTTCATTTCTCCATTTCTGGACAGTTTTGCCAGGTAAAGTATTTGTGGTTGGCAATTTTTTTTCTTTCAGCACTTTGCATTTGTCATCTTACTCTCTACCATCCTCCAAGATTTCCTTTGAAAAGTCCACTGATAACCCTATCAGGGTTCCCTTTTATGAGAATAATTATTTTCTTCTGGTTGCTTTAAAAATTCTCTCTTTGATTTTAGTTTTATTATAGTGTGTTTTGGAGAAGGTTGTTTGGATTGAAATTTTGGGGTGACCTATTAATTTAATGAGTTTGGATATCTCAGTCTCTCTTCAGGTTTAGAAAATTCTCAGACATGTTTCTTTAAATAAACTTTCTACCCCTTTCTCCCTCTTTTCTCTTTCTGGGGCTTCATTATACATAGATTGTTTCTCTTAATTGTGTGTCATTAGTCCCGTAGGATTACTTCATTCCTTTTCATTCTTTTTTCTTTTTTCACTAGATCATTTCAAATGATCTGTCTTTGGACTGTTTCTTTCTTCTTATTTTGTGCAGTCTGTTTGTGAAGCTTTTATTGACTTTTTCAATGTGGTCAATGTACTCTCCAGTTCCAAAGTTTCCCTTTTGCTTTTTGGGGTTTTTTTCCTATCTCTTTGTTGAACTTCTTGTTTTGTTCCTATATTATTTCCCTGACTTGAATAATTGTTAATCTGTGTTCTCTAATAGCTGCCTGAAAATCTTTATAATAATTATTTTGAATTCTTTATCAGGTTGTTCTTGGATCTCTATTTCTTTGGCATCATTTAATGAAAATTATTGTGTTCTTTGGTAGTATCATGTTTAGCTGATTCTTAATGCGGCCACTAGCCTTGCATAGCTGTCTGTACATTTGAGGAAGAAGTCACCTCTTCCAGACTTTATGGACTGACTTCACTAAGAAAAGACCTTCACTTGTGTAATGGGGCATGCTGGCACAGGATGTAACCCTAGATCTAGTGGTTCAGGACACCCAAGTATGCATGCATGTGGTGACTCTGGGTTCTGGAGAAGGGAATACTGACTCAATGACTTGGACAGCTGGATTATAATATCAGTCATTATGTGGTCTTTGGTGAGCAAAGGTGTGGGGAATGTTCTACAGCTGGAAAGGTTATTGGTTCTTCAGGCATCCTTCCAAGTCAAGTGACTAGGGACCAAGGCATACAGTGATGGTGGCTGAAGTCAGGGATGTGTGGGTCTGGGGGCCAGCTGCAGGTTCCTGTGTAATGATAGGGGCTGCTTGCAGACACACACCTAGTGGTGGGGGCCAGGGCAAGCAGCGAGTGCCAGGGCCAACTGGGCAAACTGGCAGTTGTGGAACCCTGGCTATCAGCATGTACTCCTGTGACGGTGGGGTCTTGCCATGGGTACATGCATGGCAGTAAAGGTTGGTGACAAGAATCAGGCTAGAAGGTGCAAGTGCACAGTTGGAGAAGCTAACCCCAAGCATGCACGTGGCAATGGGGGCTAGCCAGAGAGGTCTAGGCTGGTGTTTGTACTCATGCAGTCACAGAGACAGGGTGTCGTTGCAGATCCCAGGCTCTGATAGGGAGGAAAGAAGGGCGGAGAAGAGATGCTCAGGTATTTGGCATCTGTAAACATGAAGACCTGTAGGGCAAAACCACGTGAAATCTGAAGAGGTTCTGTTATGACTGTGCTTGCTTCCTCAGTGGCTAGACCTTCTAGGGTCTTCTGGAGGAGATCACTGGGAATCATGGCCACTTGCACTGTGTGGCTGCTACTGGTCGCCTTGCCCCTCTTCCTTATTCCTAGCCATATCTATATTCTTAGCTTTGCCAGTCTCTGGGTGGGCTGAAACCAGAGTGGATTCTTCATGCGGTGCCTTGAAAGGCTGGGGAAACTGATGACTTGCTGTGTTATGTCTTTCCCAGTGAGGGGAATTCTTTCTAGCTGGGGAATTCCTTCTGACAAGGAGCAGTGCTAGCCCAGGGGAATGAGGGAGGAAAAATGGAGCTATTCTTCCTTTCCTTTTTGTGTGGCTGTACTCAGGGTTTTGTTCCACTGTGTTGCTAAAATTTCTTAAGTGGACTTCTGAATTCTCCCAGAGCTAACTTTGTTCTTTGACCCTAGGACTAGTAGTTCAGAGCACCGAGTATGCATGCATGTGGTGGCTCTGGGTCCTGGGGAAAGGAGTACTGTCTCAGTGACTTGGACAACTGGAGTATAATATCAGTCATTATATGGTCTTTGGTGAGCAATGTGGGCGATGTTCTACAGCTGCAAAGGTTATTGGTTCTTCAGCCATGCTTCAGATAGCTGTTTGATTGCTGATCTTTGTGAGGAGATGAGTTCTAAGGTTTTATTTGTCATCTTGATGATGTCACTCCTCAGCATTGACATTTCATAGTGAATGTGATGGGGGAAGATTTCATGAAATTGAGTACAAAATATTTTGGATTTAAAACCAAAGCTATTTGGAGAGGTTGTGAGACTCCATCTTATTTCTACTTTAAAAGATCATTTTCTCTTCTAACTTTTGTGTCTGTTGGTAGATAGTGCTTGGAATTTTTGCTTTAGGGAGTTTAGAATTCGAAGCAGTTGTAGGCAAATGATGTTTCTTGTAACTTCTCACAAGGGATCTGATTTCTAGTGAAATATTGCTTTGATTTATTAGTGTCCTTGTACAGGTGATTTTTACCCTTATCTAGAGGAAAAATTACTGAAGAATAGAGGTCTTACCTTCAATATCATTTCCCTACATATTTCTGACACGTATTATTGCCACAGTGGATTCTTTTTTTTTTTTTTTCTGGCCAAGAAAGTCTTTTATTATAAATAGAAATAAGTCAGTGCAATAAAAATTCACTAATCATATCTTATAAACAGTTTTTGTTATCACATTTTGTCTCCAAGCTAACTGAAATCAGTGAGGAGAGTTATTCAGTTGCTAAACTTTAACAGTCTGATTAGGTTATCAGACTAAGCATTTGATTAGCAAAGTTTGAAAACTCTTCATGGGGTTTTTTTTTTTAATTGAGTATGGCAAATTTTATTTAAAGCATTGCAGGGTCTCCTTGATAGCAGTTATGGTTACAGAAGTTCAGAATGAAAGGTTTGTATTAATAAAATTTCTTAAACTACTAAAAAATGAACCAGACAGAAAAATTACTCATTGAGTTATAGTAAATGTCAGGTTTTTTTTAAACTAACTTATTTTTTAGTTACAAGAGATGCATGTATCTTATTTATAATATAGCTTCAAGACTTTAAATATGCTGCCCAGAATATCTTCCAGTTGCTATGGGGAGTTCTGTTATTTGTCAATGTAGGGTTTCCTACTTGGCAGCATTATGTATTTATGATGGCATCTATGTTTGCTGGTTGTTGCATTTGCAGTGGAACTTGTATTTCAGCCAGTTGAAGAGGGAGGGAAAAAGAAAGCAAATTAAACTTGACTTCTTGGCAATGAAGTAGTAGCTTCTTGTTACTTGGACCCATATATTCCAAGAACACCAAATTTAACAGCAGTTGTGTGCCATAGTTACTCTACCTATAATTGACTGTATTTGCATTATAATAAACTTGAATAATAATGTTAAAACAAAAAAGTTAAAAACTAAAATATTATCTCTTATCAGTTGACATGTACTTTTCAATTAGAATTTTAATATGGGAAATTAGCTATTAGAATGATGCTTATTTTCTCCTGGTCAAAGAAAATTATCATCAGTATCATTTTGTAAGCTTTCTTTTTCTTAACACAAGTGAAAATCTAAATCAGTGAATTAAAAAACATTTTCCCTCAACTTTTATGAGAGAAACAGTAGAAAATAAAAGTAAACATTAATATCTAAGGTTTCTTTTTAAAAACAACTACTGCATTTTAAAGTCAGTATATATTTATCCCAAGCCAATATTCTAAACCCATCTATATCTACCGCATAAGCCTGTAATATTTGAAAGTTCAAGATTATCTTCAGATGTCCCAAGAAGTTCCTTTTTAATATTAAGAACATAGAAACACCTTCTTAATATTGATTCTTAATATAAAGAACCAAGATTTAACTCCTTAATACTGACATATGTAATTGTATTCATTATAATTTATAGATTTGTAGATTATGTTCATTTTAATTTAAGTAATTCGTTTTTTTTTGAACACTAGCAGTCCTGAGGCATAGTTTAGTTAAATGTCTACTAAGTTAACTTTTAACTTTATGTTTTCCCCAGTTATGTTAGACAATTATATTCCCTGGTTTCTGGAAGCTTATGAAATAGATACATTGGTGGTACCAGTATGTATAAAACAAAAGGGAATATGGAGACAATAAAATGAATGAATCCTCATAGTAAAAAATCATAGAGCAGGCAAGAAGACATCATAAATGAGAATGTACTTAAAACAATCAAAACAATAGACCTGTCAAAACTATAAACATTGGAGTTATCAAAGATAATATATAATCATGCTTGATATGATTAAAGAAATAGAAGCTTGAAAACCAGTAGATTTGAAAAATAAATAGAAATTCTAAAAATTAGTAATATAATAACTCAATGAAAAGATTAACCATTGTATTAGACATAGCAGAAGAGACAATTGATGAAGTAATTTCTGAAGAAATTATTTAAAATACTGTCCAGAGAGAAGTGTAAAACATGATAGAGAAATTAACAGCTATGGAGAATGAAGGGAGAAGGTCTAATATACTTTTTTAGTTTATTTTTTATTTTTGGTTATGCTGGGCTTTTGCTGCTGTGTGGGAGCTTTCTCTAGTTGTGGTGAGTGGGGGCTCCTCTTCCCTGTGGTGCACAGGTTTATTGCAGTGACTTCTCTTGTTGTAGAGCCTGGGCTCCAGGTGCATGGACTTCAGAGGTTTGGCACATGAACTCAGTAGTTGCTGCATGCGGACTCTAGAGGTCAGGCTCAGTTTTGATGCACAGGCTTTAGTTGCTCCGTGGCATGTGGAATCTTGCCAGACCAGGGACCAAACCCATGTCCCCTGCATTGGGCAGGTGGGTTTTTATCCACTGTACCACTAGGGAATTCCTCTAATGTACTTT